CCTCTTAGACCAGTACACTCCATGAATTGTTACACACTAATGCACTGATGCATGCACAGAGCCCAGCTTTGATCAGGGTGCGTACCAAACCATTATTAGCAACAATTAGTTAAACCCAGTGTTGTACAAAACTGCAGGAAAAAAAAAGGTCTGAAGGTCATAGTCAAGTCAGAGACAAGTAACAAAAGTCCAGAACATGTATTATACTTAATATTAAAGTAATACTGTTTGCGAAAAAGAGAAAAGTTCAATATTTTAAGAATGAAGACGTTTCCTATTCTGAAACATTCTTCTAAAATGTGTATGCTCTTACACACATATACAGACCATGTAAACTCTGACCTTTCAGTGATAAGCAGCTTGATATAATGCTGTTTGAAATGTCAGATCATCTGGTTTTTAGTCCATTTGGTGAAATGATGTATATAATTACATAAGGAAACATCGCTTTTCTACCTTTTTATTAGTTATTTTCTAGATAGAAAATAGATGACTGTGAATGAGGTGATGAGGGGAGGGGGAGCAGCTAGGGTCGATGGCAGTCTCCTGACACTGGCAGGCCAGTCGTAGGGTTAGGGTCTGGGTCATGTTTACGCTCTCAGGAGACGGATGTGATGAGCAGCTCACAACTAATACAATCTGCAATATCAAAACAAATACATGCACACATGCATACACATGACATGATGCATGCACTAACACATATACACATACACACATCTATTATCTGCTTTAGTCACTCTCAGGCTGGGATAAAACCGTCTGGGCTTAGGGTATTAATGGAGCTAAAATGGTCCATCATCAGATGAACTGACATGCCGTAAGTCTTTTTGCCGGCCGAAAAAGTAGCAGCAAATGCAAAATGGCTTTGATAAGAGCTACAGCCCAGTTTAGAACAGTAGTGCGTAGGCTTTAAAGGCCGTACTGCAGCAATTTAATTCCTTAATCTGTGTAATAAATATAAAAACTCCCACAGGCTATGCTATCTGCTTGGCTCGTTGGATCAATATGAGGCTACACCATTAAGCTATTAGACCTGGATAGACTATTGGCAGCAACATATTGGCCAAATCTGCGGCATGACATCATTTAGCCGAAAGTTGGCCTAATTCATCAATACAACATTGGCATTTGTTTTTATAACTGTCACTTAAGTATGCATAAAAAAACATGCATTATAATTGGCAATAATGGTGAATGATAACATTTAAAGTTGGAAAACTCCTGCTGAAATAAACACTGTAAATGATGTTTATACTGACATAATTGGACTAGCAACTGCTCAGTAACTGCTCAGTTCCTACACTAAAACATATCACAGGTTAATTCAAATTTCACATCGGAGGAGTCTCACAGTTACAGCTCTAAATAGGGATGCACAATAATTATTGGGTCAATAAATTATCGGTCGAGATTGGAAAATGTATATTATTCCAAAGCATTTATTAAAGTCGATAAATTATTGTTCCATAATGTTAATGATTTATTTTGAATTCTTACGCAAAATATTTAATAGGCTTTATGCTCTCTGAAAGCCAAAGTATGTTTGTGAACTTTACTATTAAAAAATAATCAACATTTAAGAGTCAGAACTCTTGGTTTTTGCTGTGTTAACAATAGTTGTGTAGTTAGGTCAGAGCTATGGAATATTAAAGGCTCCACCATCATGCACCTTTGCTCACTACATCTTCCCCTTTCTTCTTTTCACCTTTCCACTGTCAAACTGCTCCAAATGATTGCACAAGAGTCTCAGTTTCTTATACAAGTGTATCTGTGCTCAATAAAGAGTTCACCATCTTGACAACATGATTCATTGTTGCTGTGAACCGTGCAGATTGCCACGGCGTGACATTAAAGCCTCCTGAGGCTTGGCTAGGACTAGGAGTATCAGTCGCCCTTTGTAGCCATGCCATCGAGATATCCCCTAGTATGACACAAAGCTGGGTAGTAGGGAGGTGGCCTGTCACCAGTGGCTAGGTCAGCACTTTGCACAACGCATTGCGTGTGTGTGCATGTCGTCGTAAGGAAGGGCTACATGCAAAGGGCTGATGGTAAAAGAAATATACAGCCAGTAACAAACAAGCCAACCACCATCATGAAAACATTAAGAAACCCATGGATTGTCTTACAACAAACACACATTTTCCATTCAATTAAAAGGTGTTTAACTGGGTTTAGCTGCTAGTCAGATTATGAAATGGGGAAAAGCGAGTGAGGTGGCAGGAGGACAGAGAGACAGGCAATGAAGCTGTGAGTAGCAGGGAGTAGGTTCAGGTCATAAAGCAGTTGCAAGGTCTAGGCAGCAAGATTTTAAACACTGAGCAGTAGAGCCCTAAAGCTTGTAGACAGTTTTGCGCGCACACACACACACACACACACACACACACACACACACCTATCGGGGAGCAGCTGTGAAGAGAGCAGCTGTTTTAATGCATGTACACATGAATGAATGCAAGCAACACACACACACACACACACACACACACACACACACACACAAAACAGAGGAGCACCAATAATCAAGTGCTTCAAACTAAACAGAGGTCATGTAAGGCTACATGTGCAAGCCAGCGGCAAGCGAGGGGATAACCAAGGTTGTTTTGGCATCACCTCTACCTCACTTTGCGACAAACACACATGGGGCAAACGAGGGGAAACTAACCGACAGATAGGAGAGCTCTGTGTATGCAGTGACCATACCGAGCTCATACACAGCAGTATGGATAACGTATTACCCTTATCTCACAGGTGACGTGTGAACGCACTGTTCATTTCAGCTGTGTGGTGAATCAGGTTCAATGTCCCACTTAAGGATGGCTTTTAAATGAATGTAGTCCCGTGTATTCCCTCCCGGTTTTGGGCTTTTTCATCTGTAATATGTGGAGACTTAAAATACAGTGAAGTGGGCTAGCTGAATATGTTGACACCTTAACACATGTAGGTAAACAATGTCAGAGGTTTTCAACAGTACATGAATGAACACAAAATGTATGTTAGATAGCGTTCAAACAACTGGCTGGTAGCTGAATCGGTTTAGCATCAACTTGCCGTTTAGCAAAAGTTAGCTACACTAGCTAACGTTGTACGTTAGCGAGGCTAGCAGCGTTAGCTTGGCACACAATCTCAAGACACCGCTGACTCGTTCCAGTAAAACGGGTTTTAAATATAATTTCAATGTTGTGTGTTAACGTATTAGGGGTAAGCTGAATGTTTAGTAATAGCCATCAACGCAGTGAGTGAAAAGCGTCTGCTCGCTAGCCAGGCTAAGCTAACGTGTTGAGAAGTCAGTCCCAGTCGGGAAAATCAAAACAAACGTCTCCAAAGTATGAAGGCGACATAAATCTGACACTGTGCTCTTCCACTGCAGCAAACACACCGGTGGCCCTCGTGTATGCTCTTGGTCAAATAAATATACATATCAGGCTGCTCAATGAGGCACATTAACCCTAAGCTGCTATTAGCCATAGATATTTCCCGTTGTGATAACACGCCTATTTTTCACTGTTTATTTTGGGCCTAAGCGACGCTGGGAAGCCCTGGCCGTTTTCCTGCTCTGCGGACCCGCTGACAGTGACAGCAGCGTCGGCCCTGTTGTCCCACCATGTCGCCCTCCCGACGTATTGTTCCAGTATAGTGGTCTATTTTTGATTTATTTTCATCCTCCCTACCTGGCGCACTGCAGTCGGCGCAGACCTCTGTCCTTTGAAGCTTTCTTGACATCTCGAAAGTCGCTGATATCGAGAGGTGGATGTCGGCGATGATGTGGTTCGCCCTTTTTCCCCCGAGTTACCGACCGACGTCTGCCGTCAACCGATGCGGCCCCTGAATCCCCGGAAGCCGGGTGGTGTGATCGGCTTTCCCGGCCAGCTGACAGTTGAATTTCCCGTTTGTTCCTGCGGTCTCTTCGCCCACGTTCCCCACTGAACTCAAGTCTAGAGCCAAGTTATGTGAACATGGCTAATCTGGCTGTTTGTATGAACCTCATATGGGAATTATTTACTAAATCTGTTCGCTGCATTGCCTGCAACTCACCGAGAGACGGCAGCTCTCTACCTGTCAGTTTCCGCACACACACACACCCAACATCCCCGCAGCCTACCTATTGAGGGGCAGGGAGGGGTGACGGGGCAAAAATACTCCTGTCATTCTTTAAAGGTGAGCTGGATTTCACACACAGATCAAAATAGAGTAAGAGGATATAATAAAATAAAATAAATAAAAATGTTGCAAGATATTTTACAGGAGATCCTGACAAAGACCTGATTTGTTACCTCATTTAAACATCAATATAAGGATTTATTCAGTATTATCTACTGGATATTTAAAGCAACAGCCCTTGTCATTAAATAGAAAGAAAATAGCAAAGGATGAGAGTATCATGGTACTGAATAAGATATTCCTTCAGCAAAACCTTTATTGTTCATTTTTAGCTTTGGTTGTTACCTATTAGATAAAATAGAAAACAGAAATATCTGTAGATATTCTTATGTTGCTATTATTATTATTATTATTATTATTATTATTATTATTATTATTATTATTATTAGTTGTTATTATTATTAATAATAATATTATTATTAACACAGCCAAAGAAAGAATAGGCTATATATTTGATTTATATTAGACAAACTTTAGATAGAATGTAACACCAAATAAGGTGTTAAGCAAAAAAGGAAGCATAATATGGGGCAAAAGGAGTACATGTTAAGCTCAGATTTAAACTTTACCTCGATACATTTTAATAAATTCATTGTTTTATGGTCTTTTGCAGTAAGCGTATGTTACTTTTTTTTTTTTTTACCTCCACAATATATCACTACTATAAGATTCCTGTAGGGGGCTGTGCTATGTAGTTTCATTTAAACATTTGTGTATGATTTTTTGCGGTTCTTTTTTTTTTTTTTTTTTTTTTTTCACGAAACATATGTTTTATCTCAACATCCCTGACAGCGGATTGGCTGAATGTGCGCACATTTCATTGCAGCTTGTCAACGCATCTCTCCCAGTCACCACCGGATGGGAGGAGAGGAGGAGGATAGATGTGTTAGAGTAAGCAGGAGAGAAAGAGAGAGGGAGGCAAGAGGTATAGGAGCGGGTGGTTTACATATAAAGGTGTAGCCTAATCTGCTGAGACAATCAAACGAGGGCTCTTATTGCTACAGATGATCTCCACGGGCTTTTGGTGTTTATTCTAAGCAGGCGAGCAGACAATCATTCACTGTTTGAGACGCGTAAGGCTGCCCCTGTACGCCTTTGGGCATCACCGCCGATAAAGGATGATAGGCTTGATTATATAGCGTAAATTAAAAGCAAAGTATCCCCCGCAATCCACACTGAAGAAAGAGGAGGATCCAAACTATGATCCGAGGATGATTTCTGCTAAGAAAACTCCGGAGAAGAGTCGTTATCCTATCCACTATTTGGTGTGGCACAACAAACACCGACAGCTGGAGAAAGAGCTGGCAACGAACGAGCAGGTGAGACGGACAAGAGCGATCAAACCCATCTCTCCTTACAGACACAGGCCCGCGTCTTCATTATACGCGTTTAAATGGGCGTGTAGGTCCCTAAATGGAATAGGTAGTGGTATAGATGCCATCCATGGAGCGCCTCATTCAAGACCCCTGGTCAGTAATTGGGAATAGCCCAGTTAATTGTTATCTACAGGGTGGAGGGGGACACTTGTAGACCATATCCTCTGACTTGGATATGCACTATTTTCTTATTGTCATTCATTTTGAAATGACAGAGTGACATGACAGACTTTATACGTCAGTGGTCTGGGTTATGTGCTGCATTGAGGCTTAAAATGTTCATTCTACCAGTTCATTTTAATATGCATTGGAAGTTGTGACCGGAGTTTATTCCTGTAAAAAATCCCATGTGCAAATGACTGTCACTGCTGACCCTGATGGTGTTGCAGAATGTGTGTGTTTGTCAAGAGTCAGTGGTGCTTTATGTGTGTAAGCAGCATTATTGCGTGATCTACTCAGAAATGTAGGCTCTGTACCTTCCCACCAGCACCTAAACCATTTGTGAGTGGGTGAGACAATACAGATGAGCATGTGGGCGAACAGTTGCCAACCACCACAGTAAGGGAATCATTAAGGTATTGTAGGTTTCAAGAGAAGATGTTTGTCATAATCAAAAGCACGGAAAATACATTTCAGCCACTGTTAAAATTGGATTACTTCAGCTCAGGGCAAGGGACTCGATAATATGATAAGAATTGTACTGTGTGTGTGTGTGTGTGTGTGTGTGTGTGTGTGTGTGGGGGAAGAGAGAGAGTGGCTGTGCAACAGCATACATGTGTATTAATTCTTAAGTCTTTTTTTGTTGTTTTTTTGGCAAATGTACTAGAGTGCTTTGTCATTATATAAGAGATGCTCTGCAGTTAGCAACCAAAAATATTTTTGAGAGCATGCATCATGCAGCGGTCTCAAGACATCACACTTCCACATGCATGTACGCACACTTGCCAACACGTGCACACACTTACCTTCTTGTGGCTATAAAATCATACCCCTGGAAGCTTTCTTAACACCAAAATGGTCATCAAGTGTCCCAAAGGCAGCCATCAATTGGTTTACCACAATCCCTACATTTACAGCAAGGGAGTGTGGTAGTGACATTTACCATTTAACCCATGATCATAATTGTAACTATTGGGAAATAAATAGCAAACCAGATCACACCTCACAGTGAAGAGGCTCTGAGAACAGACTAAGCCCTTTGGTATTCAAGTCAATGTCAGAGGCAACATATTGTGTTTCATAGAAAGGGGAGCTGGAAATGAATCATGTATGCTTTTACAGCAGAGGAGACAGCAAAAGCTTTTAAAATGTAAGTAGCTTTGCAGGTGTTGAATACTCATTTTCATACCCTGCTGGCTCAACACTAAATTAAAATTAGCAGACGACTCTTTATTGGTTCTTCGGCTTAGAATTAATTTCAGAGGTTCAATGCACAAGGACCCCGTCTTGGTCAGAAGCTATATTAGCACTGTAGCTCATCAACCGGTCAACTGGTCAAAATCGTAAAATGGTCTAGCACTTTTGCTTATGGAGGATGCCTCTAAAACTAGTATCAAATTACCAAAATCCCCACAGTCTTTGACAACCTATACATTGTTCTGAGGTCTGACGTCCTCAATGCTTGAAGATGAAAGTGGCATAGCAATGGATATGGCCTATTATTACAACTGGATGCTGAGTTCAAAGATGGCACCATTTATAGCTCATCATATGTGTCAGTTTTTTTTTTTTTTTTTTTTTTTTTCTTGGACAGTTTTGGCGTGATGTGGCCCATGACACATACATATTAGTGTCACTTTTCCTGACAACACCAAGTTCTCTAAGAATGAACTTTCATAGGGAAAAAACACTTCTTTCATAATCTCAGTCTATACTTCATTTTCTGTTTAGCTTTATGTGCTGTACGGCAACCTTGAATTTGAAAAACTTTTTACCTAATCTTTTGAAGTGAGAACTTTTAGCACTGTAGTAGTATTTTTAATTAATGCATCTTGAAATATACACATATAGCTATTGGCAATGAAAAGAAACACTCATTTATTTCTATAGCCATCTTAAATGTAGACTTGTTAACATCTTCCCTTGTGCATATCTTTGTACCAGTGGGTAGTATTTTATTGGTATGTTTGAAATGTTCAACAAAACTACATCATAACTTATGTGCTGCCCATGTCACCCAAATATAAATAATGGACATGGATATGGGTAGAATATCACATCAACTTCCCCTAAACCGAAACTTTTGGTGTGTTTAGTTTACATAGACAGGCTCAACAAATCAGTCCACACAACTTCATAATCATTCATTTTTCAGGAACCCTTGTATCTATAAATATTTTATGATGATATTATCGCCTCTTCTGCTGTGCATTTTGAACCCAGGCCCTTTATATGATATATTTGATCTTTTTATAAACTAAGCCAGACTGCCTGGTAGATCGTTTTTTCCTGTATGAGAACAAACACAAATCTGTTGAACATCACAAGCACCAAAGTGTTCAGAATCCAAAAAACATTTGATGCTGATCCTTAGTAAATCTGCATGATTAGTCACCCTCCTGTGTTGCTTGTGTAGGATTTCTTTTATTGTAATTCTCAATGACAATCCATAGGGCAGTTTCTACCAGCTATAATGGCACACAAATGGTCAGTTGTAATGTAACAGTGTTCATCGCAGTGGAAACTATGAAACATGAACACTGTGTGACATGAAATCTAAAATGTTAATTTATGCCTAACCCTATCATCTATTTCAATGAATCCCCTGGCTTCTTGGCTATATTGGATTTCATAGGTGCCATATTTTTATGGCTCTCAAGCTGTTTAATGCTGTCAAAAGAAAACAGAAATAGAAAAGAGGGAGAAAGGCAGAGGATATGACTTTTCAATTTTTCACAACAACCATTATTCCTTGCTCTTTTCATGTCAGCTCCAGAGGCATTCTCCTAGACCCTAAACCTCAGTTATCAGCTATCTGTGCTGAATGGCAGATCAGAGAAAGTTGTGTGGAGACAGGTATAAACAAAAGCTGAAAACGAGAGTTTCACTTCTTTCTTCTCGTTTCCTCTGATTGTCGATGAACTTCTGTTCAGCCTCATTCACAACAGTAACTGTTCAAATGACCTCTGTATCTTTTGCTGTTTTGCTTATTGTGTGAGTTTGTGCGTGGGCGTATGCACATGGAGGGAAACATCCTGGATTTGCATTTGTTGTATAACCGAGTGTGTTTTTCCATAGCCAAACATTTTACACTTTACAGGAATTTATATGAGCTGCTAAACTAACAACATTAGTTTAATGTCAGCATCAAATCCCAGAACTCATTTGACATCCACTTTTTGACACACTTTATATGGTAAACTGAGCCCCTAAACTAGGACAGCACACACACACACATACACACACACACAGACACCATCATGCTCCAAACCCCAGCTTCTGTCAGTCACACACACATGAAACACACACGAATACACATGTGTGATAATGATGACAGGTGTCAAGAAGCATTCTGAATAACTGTGGCACTCTCATGGCTCTGGTCGCTTCAACATGCTTTGACAGCACAGGGATTTCTTTTTATAACTGCAGGCAAATGATGGAAGTTGAATGCTGAATAAATAGAGACCAAAGGTAATTATAATTAAAATGTGAATTGCAAATCCCTCTGGAGCTTCTAAAATGTCTACTTTATTAAATCAGGACCCCAGTGTTACATTGCCAAGTATGTCCAAGCTCCAGTTGGCCTGTCTGCCGTGCATAACCAGGACAAAATTAAAATATTGCTTACATGTAAATCAAGGCCACCAACCTACATTTCCCACTGACCTACTGGAACAATCCCCAGCTAGGCCAACAAAACGAGAACACATGGAAGAGGAAACAAAATATGACTGAAAATACATTTCGGATTACATAAACCAAGTAGTTTTATTTATTTGTTTCAAATAGCATTATGTGTGTAGATTTGACCAGGAGCCAAGCAGCTGCAAATAGTTAAAAACCGTCATTATCTCCTGTTTATTATCAGAAGTTTATAGTCGCAATTCAAATATTTCTTTGTTGAAACACTGAATATTATTCAGTCATTTTCAGCTTATACTGTAGTACAAACCATGGTGGATTTGGTTGCAGTAAGCCCCCTGAAGGAGTGACGCCAAAAGGAGGACACAGGTCTGGCAGATTAAATCCCATTCTCACAGACCTTGATTGTCTAGTACTGTTTATTATAACTGCTGACAGAGAACTCCTACATGCACTTGACATACACTTACTACACATAATGAAGTGAGTTCATGATCCACTTTTAGAGAGAGATTTCTATCGTGAGCATTTCTATGACAGAAAAAAGACAAGGGGAGCATAGGAGGAGAATAACATTGGAAAGATATATGCATAATCCTTGTTGCAACAATACATTTTTTACAGTACAGTGCATTGGGATAGTTCCTATATCACATGATAGCCATTAGGATATCACATTATAGCTATACTGTACTTACAGCACAAATAACAAAGGCAGTACTGCATGATGATGGTTGGTTTCTGATAAAGTCAGTTCCCCCTCTGCTGTGGAAGAACAGTATAATATAACTGACCTCTCCGTTACACCACAGTAGAATAAAGGTAATCTACAGCCGTCTCCATATCGGATCTTTTTAAGTCCTCCCAGCCTTTGGTGAAATGATGAGACTCATTTCATTTCAGCATGTGCATGCATCAAATATCCAGCACTGTTTCTGATCACACTTTTATTTCCTTCCAGCACAACAATGCAATGGATGGCTGGTTGATGCATGGTTGTGTTGAAAGTTTTTAAAAATGCCTCTTTTCTAATACTTGAGGTATGAGACTGTAGAAACTACATGCAGAGATTCCTATATTTGCCCAGTCTTCCATCAGCAGCATGTAACAGATTGCATGTGAGTGAGTGAAGGAGGCAA